ATATATATATATTTTACTATTTACCCCTTCCATGGCCCCATTTTAAGTTTTCAATGACAAACCTTTGTTCTCTTTTCCTCTCTTCGTCTCTACTTAAGACTTAGCTTTTAGATGAAGACTCGCTAAGGCTCAAGCCTCTCGCACAGCCTTTTCCCAGAACCCTACCATTTAAAACGAATTTCATAGACTCTCTTCCCTACTGTGCACTCAGTAAATAAATCATTTCTTTTCTCCTACGAAGACCACAGTGAGCTTGATAAAAATAGCTGAAATATAAAGATCCGAGGTTGTTCTCCTCTACAGTACTTTGTACTACATAGTAAATAATTGACCCCTTCTATTATTGGAACTTATCTGATCAAATACATATGGAAATAATCTTAGAATAAATTACCTATTAATATACAACTAACAAGGCCTTCCTCCCCCAGGCCCCCGACTAGTGCTTGTTTCTCACCTGATATACTGATTCACGGCCAGAAATTTGTTTTACTAAAAGTTTGGCATCTTCTTGACTTTTGGCATAGCCTTTTGTAATAGTATACACCAAGCTGAGGTGCTTTTTGATCTGCACATCTATCCTGTGTATCAGTATTGGTATTACTAACTGAAATAATAGAGGGGGGAGAAAACTTGTAAGTTTCAACAGAAAAAGCAATATTCTTCCAAGCTTTTTGATGCAGATTTCTTTCCAAAGCTACTGAACTTTGTGCTAAGTCCAGCTCTCAGGGAACCTAACTTTGTGCAGCGGTGACACAGAGCTGTAAAAATAGCTTCACTAGGCAACGTATTTAAAGCGCTTTATTCAGTCCCTGGCAAAAAGAAGTGCTCAACACAAAAGCGAACCATAATATTGATTCCTTAAATCTACTCCATCGAGATTGGTCGAGAGCATGCTAAGCAAACGGTCCGGCTGATTCAGAATGCTTGCTGACCACATTTAAATAGATTTGGCTTCTATGCTAATATGTCTTTAAAACTTTACTCCATTTAAAATAGTTCTCATGAAGTATCACTTCCAAAATATTTAACTTACATTTGTCTGCATATCTGTATGAAAACTGGTTACCTGAGAAAATCCTCTTTCATTTTAAGACTTAGCTGTCCTTTTTTTAATTAATAAAGTTTGGTGGTGCTATTGAGATATATAGAACAATCACATTCATTGTAGGGAATTTGTATTTATACATGATATATCTTGATTCTTTTTTCCCCATTCTCCTCCCCTTCCTTCAACCCCTTTTCCCCAAGCTTTGTTTCCTTTCTTTTTTAATTTTTGTTTCCATTTTATCCTTCTCTTCTATTTTACTTTTTCCTTTTCCCTTTATTCCTTTCACCCTTTCCCCTCCCTAGTGCCCTTTCCCTTTTGAACATTTTCATTCGATTTTACAATTTCCATTATACATTTGGTCCTAATTTACTTTCAGTTTCTTACATCAGAGAAAGAATGTGCTATTTACACGTGTGTGTCTGATTCATTTCACTTAAGAGTATGGTCTCAAGGTGCATCCGTTTACCTAGAAATGTCTCAAGCTTATCCTTCTTTATGGCACAGTAGTACTTACTATATTAACACACACACACACACACACACACACACACACACACACATCTTTCTCCATTCATTGGTTGATGGACATTTGGGCTGTTTCCAAGACTTAGCTATTACAAACTGTGCCACTATAAATATGGGTGCGTGTGTGTGTGTGTGTGTGATGCTTTTAATTCTTTTGGGGAGAGCTGGATCAAAAGGGACCTCTAGTCCTGGTTTTTGAGGACTCTCTGTGCTGATTTCCACAGTGGTTGCACCAGTCTACACGCCCACCAACAGTGTAGAAGGTTCCTTTTCCTCCACAGCCCTTCCAGCATTTATTATTGGTTGATGTTTTAGGAATAACCATTCTTTCCGGAATGAGATGGAATGTCAGCATTGTTTTAATGTGTATCTCTTAAACGACCAGTGATATTGAACACTTTTTCATATTTTCTTCATCTGAGAAATGTGTATTCGTCTCAGATGCCCATTTGGGATTAGGTCTTTAAATGAGAAGGGGTCTGATGCTTTTTAGTGCTCTATATATTCTAAATAGTAGTCCTTTGAGGAACAGCAAGCAAAATTTTTTCCCACCCCGTTGGTTGTCTCTTCACTTTGTTGGTGAGTACTCTTGCTATGCAAAACCTTTTTAATAAGATGAATCCTGGTTGTTAATTCTCTATAATATTTCCCATGTGATTGTAGTTTTGCCTCCACCTGTATCTTCAAGAGTCCTACCTATTCTACCCTTCAGCAAATTTAGTGTTTATGTTTTACTGTTTAGATCTTTGATCCATTTTGATTTTAGTTTAGCACATGGTGATAGACATGGATCTAGTTTTAATCTTCTATATGTGGATAATCGGTTTTCCCAGCACCATTTATTAAAGAAGCTATCTTCGGCTGGAAAGTCACTGGGAAGCCCAGGCTAGCCTTGAACTTGCAATGACCCTCCTGCCTCATCCTCTAGAGTCCTGGAATTAAAGGCATGTGCCACCATGCCTGGCTTTCTTTATTTTTTTTTATTCGTCTCTCTTGTGTAGTACCCTCACTAATGTCTCCAGTATTACATTGAATAGGAGGGGTAACAGTGGACATTTTTACCTTATTCCAGACTTTAGAATGAAAACTTTCAGTTTTTGACCATTTAGTATGATGTTGTTAGCCTCCCTTCTGATTTCTAGAGTACTTTGTACTATAAGGATTCATAATTTTCATGAGCACTTAGCTGTGAACTTCCCAGGCAGGTGCCGTGCCACTGAGCTGTATCCCCAGCCCTTTAGCTCTAAACTTAGTTCAAAAGTCAAATCATAGAAGTAAAATTGTCCATACAGCACGTGTTGCATGTCCCTACAACTCCCCACAGCAATTCTTATGAACACTAAAGCTTAGTAACAGTGATGTGGAATAAAGGAAAAACCAGAGGAAAAAAATCTAAAATACAAGTTGGGTATCCAAGTAATTCTGATTTTAAGATAACTATTTGGGGGAAATGATAACGAATTTCTCACAAGATAGTCTCTAGGTATAGGATTCTAATGTATGCATTTTACCACTAGGGTCTAGAGCAAGTATTCTTTTTTATTATTTATTTATTTGTTTATTTGATACAGGGTCTTGCTACACAGCTCAGATTCATAGTGATCCTCCTGTCTCAGCTTCTCCAGTGCTGGGATTATAGGTGTGCACCACCATGCCCAGCCCACGGGCTGTATGGTATGCCCAGGATTCTTGGGCCAACAATGCATGCAGTATCAGGGATCAAACCTGGTTCCTTCAGCTTGCCAAGCAGGCACTTAGTCCACCAAGCTATCTTTCTTCCTTCCTTCCTTCCTTTCTTTCTTTTTTTTTTTTTTTTTTTTTTTTTTTTCCAGAACTGGAGATTGAACTCAGGCCCCTGCACTTGCCAGGCAAGCACTTATTCTACTGAGCCATCTCCTCAGCCCCTAAACCTCTATAATTTCATTTCATACAGAAATCCCTTTTAATGTGATAGCTATTATAAACAACGTGGAGTAGCCAGTAAAACCCTGTAGCTTGTGGTTTAAATGCTTATACAATGCAACTCCATGGAAAAAAGGAAAAGAGGCCCTAAGAGCTAAAACTTAAAAATAATAAATAAAAAAAGAGTTGAGACTGAAAATACAAAAACCTACTTTCAGAAGTCAAACAAGACCTGTGGAAAGGAGGAATAATCATTATAAGCCACAATTAAAGGAAACTCCACAAGCAGCCTGCCTTATGAGTATGGGGCTGTCGAGAAAATACTTTTGTTTTACAGTTTGGAAGATATAAACAAATATTACTGAAACTGAAGAGCTTATTTCTGGCCCTCGCTGCTTCTGGTGTCCAGTTACCACTAAGGTGCTCACCTGTATGCCCCGGGCAAGCGCACCGATGACCCAAGCAAGCAGGCCTCACCTCATGGAGAACAAACACAAATTACAGCCACCTGGTGACACATGCTGGAGGAGGGGAGAGTTAAGCAGCTGAAGGGGATCTCGAGGGGGGTGGAGTGCGAGGACTTGGGTGCAGGGCTGGGCTGCTGCTTGTCATAGGATGGTAAGAGACAGTATCTGTCAAGGTCAGAGCAATGATTTCATGGAGATGAATGAATCCAGCAGACACCTACCGTAGGAAACTTCCAGAAAAGACAGGGCCTTCCCGCATTTTTCTCAACAAGGTTTCTTAAATCATTTAATAACTAAAATAAGAAAAAAAACATTCTAAAATATGAAGTCTTACCTTGAAGAGAGGAAGAAGCCTAGCTGTTCTTAAATAGCCTAATGTCACTGTAAGTTGGATAAGAAACAAGTTGCTTGGTCTCATGGTGACACAGTATAAACAAAAGACATCAACAATTCCAACAATCATGATAAGAAAATCCAGTAAGTTCCAATGTTGTTGAAAATATTTCTTTCTCAAAATTATTATCTGTTTAGAAAACAAATAAAATATAGGTCATGTCAAAGCACCTACACATTGGTGGGGGAAAAGCTTTTAAGAGTAGTAGTGAAGTCCTCAGTCACAAATGATTTATATTACAAAAGTTGTGCTTTATGTTCCTCATTTGAAATTCCTAAAAATTCTTTCCATTCTCCATTGTCAAATTTAATTTAATGTGACTTAAAATATATCATATATGATATTAAGTATATTGCATATGATATATCATATGTCATATGAAATGTATGTGATATATCATATATTATATGGCGTATATCATATGGCTCATATCACATATTATATATTATATGTCATATTATATAATATATATTTTTGAGGCTGGAATGCCAAAAAAGAGTTAAAATAGCAATACGCAGGTTCATTGTAATGCCATTAATAATAAATAAGAAAACAGCAAAGCAGATAAGCTGTCTCTGAAGCATTTATGCTAAGAAATATTTCTCATACCATGACAAGCACCTAGCAAATCAACTTTATTTTTTTCAAAAAGACGCATTTAATAACCTGTGTATATATGCGTCATGGGGCAAAGTATATACACACTCAAAACAGGGCTAGTGCCCACAGGCCACAGCAGCACAGATCAGGGGAACAAGTATCATTCATTTTCCAACAAGTGAGTCAAGTTTTTCTTGACGGCAGAGCAGCATCCGGTCATGTGTTAATACCACACTTCATGTATCCAGGCATCTGCGGATGGATATATAGGCCGCTTCTAAGATTTAGCATTATGACTTGTGCTGCTAAAAACATGGAACACACTTAGGATGCGATGTCTTTAACTCTCTCGGAAAGATGTCTGGAAGGGGAGTAGGTGGGTCAAATGGAATTTCTAGTTTTAGTTTTTTGAGGACTACCCGTGCTGATTTTCACAATAATTGTATTACTTTACAGTCCCATCAATGGTGTAGTTTCCTTTCTCCCTGTAGCCTGTTCAGCATTTGTCATTATTTGATTTCATAATAGCAATCATTCTTTCTGGGGTAAGATGGAATCTCAGAGTTGTTTTGATTTGCATTTCTCCAATGGCCAGTGATGTTAGGCTCTTTGTTTCATGTATTTATTGGCTATTTGTACTTCTGAGAAGTGTTTATTTCAGTTGGCCATTTTTTGATTAGGTCTTTTGTTTTGGGGGTCTAATGTCTGTGGCAACATATTTTTCCCATTCTCTTGGTTGTTTCCCTTGCTGTAAAGAACATATTTTATTTGATATGATCCCATTTGTTGATTCTTGATGTAATACAAATTTGTTTTTATTCACTTTTTATTTCTTACAAAATTAAAGTATTTGAGAGAAATACTTGTCTGTTTTTTTCAAATCTCTTCTACTTGGCTCTTGAGATCAGTTACCTACCTAATTCTTATCTGATATCCAAGACTATGATTATTGTACTGATCTCCTTATTAAACGTCAAAAATTTACAAGGATTACTAAAGCTCCAGGATCCCCATTAGTTGTATTAACAAATGGCTTTTGGTATCAAGTCATTTCAACAGTATGACAAAAATAATCCCAAACCATCTGAATTGTTTTAGCTAATACAATGGAATACATTTCTAGTTTAAATAGTACCTTCAATGCTGCCTGCAATACATACAAAAATAAAAAATAGTAGTTTATTGTGCTCAGAGCTGACACGTTTAGCTTTCTTGCCGCTGGCCACAAATGTATTAGAAGAGGATAAACATACATGAATGCTATAATATATCCTGCATATTCAAATTCTTCTGAAAATACAATGCGGTACACAAATAAGATAAATTTATTAATCCTGAAAAAAAAAAAGATCAAATGTAACGTGAGATCACTTAAAAGCATAACAACGGAGAGGTGCAGTTCAACATTTTTTAAACAAATTGTTCAAATTAATTTGAAAAGTCTATAAAAATATATAACAATAGTGAAGGACAAATAAAGGCTATCTGTATGTAAATATCATAATGAAGAAATATAAAAATAGGATCCTTGTTAAGCCATATCTGAGATGAAGTGCAGCTTTTAAAAACAGGGCCATAGGACATAGAAAGGAATACAAATATTTATAAATCAAAAGCAAGAAATAAAGACATTTAGAAGAAAATGAAATATTAAAAGTTAAAAATTAAAAATAAATAAAAATGTTAATAGAAGAAAATGAGTTGCATAGAAGCATTTTTAAACAATTAAGAACAGAAAAAAACTATTCAATTTAGTAATCATGGTATGTATTTCTTAAAACTTTCCAATCTATCTAAAATGAAAGGAGAGTGTGGTAGTTCATGCCTTTAATTCCAGCACTCAGGAGGACCACCATGAGTTCAAGGCCAGCCTGAACTATATAGTGAGACCCTGTCTCAATAAATAAATTAATTAATTAAATTTAATGGAGTCTAATAAAAAGAGGTTCAGGAGTTTTATGGTAAGATCCTGGGAATTCATTATATTACTTTTTTGCATTTTTCTTAAATTTGTTATATTTAATAAAAAGCAAGAAAAGAGTATTATCTATGGTTATCAACAGTTAAGACTCACTGACACTTTAGCTGCGTTAGTGTTCCTTGCATGTTCTGGCTTTGACATCTTCCATTGATCAGAAAACCTCCAACAATTAGAGAAGCTCACAACTCACATAACAAAATATGAGACTTTCCAAGTTAAGTAAAATCTGTGTTTTGTGATATTTTGAAAAATTGGTGATAGATATTATTAAGACCATGTTGTGTTTTTCCTAATTGTAGATATCAATATTATTATCCTCTGAACAGATGAAAACTAAACTGACATAGGTCTAGTCCACCATTAGGTATTTCTCACTCTTACTGTTATACCCAGGAAAACATTCAAGCAGCCAGTATGCAATATAACCCCAAAATGCTATTCTTTTCTTATTCCTGCCCATATTTTAATAGTGATACCAATGAAGTTGCTAAAACAGAATGGGGAAAGAAAAGTAAACATTCTCTTCAGTCACCACTGAATAGGAGTTGACTATAATGTTAGTCATCACTTTAATAAGAAAAATCAAAGTATTCTGTTCTGAAAATCTAGAGTTATAATATTTTCACTCATATTGCTATTAAAGGTTCATAGTATACTTACCCAGGTAAAACAAAAGTTCCCCTTTCTTTATGGTACTCCATGTAAGTCAGTATGTTTTTAAACATTATAAGCCAACTTCTAGCTCTTACATAAGTTGAAACATCATAAATACTCATGAATCTAACAAAGAAAAAAATGTGCTGTAATAAAAGACAAGTACTGTACTAGTGGGCAATATAAAACTAGTTATATGAAGTATACACTTAATAAGTGCACTCAGTTACAAATCTCTGCATCCATCCACCCATGAATGGCACAGAAATAGTTTTAGCTTGTGCCTCATTCCAAGAATCATTTCTTGCTTGAGGTAGAACATATTTAAAGCTTCTCTAGCCCAATCTTTTGGGGTTTTGGATCAAGCCCCCTTTTGTCATATGTTGCCTAGCCTAAGCCTCTGCAAAAATCTGAAGACCCTACCTTCCTGAAGGTAATCCTAGGGGTTGACAATAGATCTCCCAAAAGGATTAGGAGGCTGTTGAAATGTTAACTATCCTGAAACCAGTATCTCTTAGCAGTGCCTCACACTTTTGTCTTGGAACAGTCATAATCTAATGTTATCAATGCTTGTCAATACTGTGACCAGGTGGAATATATCATTAAGACACTGAGCTTTTCCCATCAGATTTCCTGACATCTCAACATAGCCACTTAAGTCAGCTCCTCCAGAGCCTGCTCCACTCCAGAGTGCACTCTAATAGCGTGCTCCTGTTCTCTGTACCTCCTCTACCCAGTAGTTTAGTGACTGTGGTATGAAGGCAAAAAAAGAGTAATAATCATAGGAATTGAAGGAGTGTAAGTTTTCATGAATGGAACCCCTAGTTTCTTATCTAATGCCATTGTTGTCAGAACTCTCTCCAGAATCCCTAATGTCATGAAGGTTTATTAAACTGCAGGGAGGAAATGTCCAAATAAGAAAAAAAAAAAAACAAATGGCTAGCTAGATGGACATTTGGATGGATGGATGGATGGATGGATGGATGGATGGATGGATGGATGAGCAGATGGATAGGTGGACAGATGAACATGTGGACAGATGGACTCACAGATAAATGTAAGTAGATGAGATAATTGACCAGATCTGTTAATAAGAACATGTAAGTCTTAATTTGTTTAATCTTTTTCACATATCCATTCAGTTTTGGAGATAGCAATTAAAGAAATATTAAACTTACTTTCCTTGGATGATGCAATAGATTTTGGTGGCACCAATTAATATCCGGGCTGCCTGTACTCCAATAAGTCCCTCGTTGCATTGTTTTTCAAAGCTACTCTAGATATACAATTTTAATCAAAAATTATAAGGGATCAAACTATAAGCATAATGAACTCTACTTAGTCTTTATATACCTTCACTATGACTGAACTCAATAAGATTGGCCCTCTTAACCCACATGTTTTACATTAATGAATGCTATCAACAAATCAAAAAAATTTAGGAGAAAAACTGAATTTGTAGTGAATACAGGGAGACTTTTCTCACCATTATCCTTCCAGTAATAATTATTAGACCTATTTACACAGTATTTGTGTTGTGCCAAGAGTTCTGAGTAATCCAGGGATAAAGTACAAATGAAGATGCACTAGGTAGGTTATATGCAAATACTGCACCATTTTTAATTCTTTACTCTTATTAATACATGTTCATAGTATATAAGATTATATTTTCATGAGGAGTTAGGATATGTGTATGCACACCTCAATTCTTTTTACTTTTTTATATAAGTGGCAAGAATCTGCAGATTTTAGTGTGCATAGGGTGTCTTAGAACCAATCCATCTTGGATACTGAGGTATAACTCCATATAAAAACACACTATTAAGGGCAACGGAGATAGCTCAGCTGTCTAAGTGCTCACCTAGGACCCAAGATCAATCTCTGGTAACACTGCCATGCCAGCCCTGTTCCAGGTGCACTGAGCCAGCCACCAAAACCTAAAACCTGTAGTGGTGGTGTCTGCCTGTAATCCCAGCACTGGGAAGGCTGAAACAGGAGGATGTACTATGTCTCACTACAAGCCCGAGCTGCATATATATATATTTTATTCAATTCAAGTATCTATTCATTTTTTACCAAATATTGCTCTGAGTGTTGGAAGAGATACAAAAGTTCATAGCTTCAAGAAGCTAAAAATTTATACATAACTCAAAAGAGTTCAGTAATGTAAAAAGCACCCATGATATACAGAATAGAATGCAAAGTATTAATTCAAAGTGTAGCTAGTCATTTCACCCCCAAAAAGAACAATCAAAAGGGGAGGGATTGTGCTCTTCTTTTTTTTAATGTATTTAGTACAGGGTCTACAGAGTCTCACTACATAGATTGAACTTGTAGTGATCATCCTTTTTTCAGCCTCCCAAGCACTGGGAATACAGGTCTATGCCACTGTGCCCAGTCTCAATCGTTGTCTCAGCAAGCCCTGGGGATGGGGCCAGCATGGCAGACCGGGGGCCGAACTCCCAGCCTTTGCATCTGCCTAAGCAGGCACTTCAATCTGCTGAGCTATCTGGCCAACCTTAGGGATTGTGTTCTTGAACCACAAGACAGTTCTCCCCTCAAGACAGAAGAAAAATTATACCTTTTGGGTTCCACCAACACAGATTAGAGTTATCTCCTGGGACTACGACCTTAACTTTCTTCTTCACATACTAACCCCTGCATAATCATTATTTGTAATTGCTGTCTCCAACCTCAACCAGTGTAGCATAATTTCTTAAATTTTACAATGAGAGTCACTAGAGGAAAGGAAAGACCACTATGGTATTCCTCAACTTCATGCTCATCCATTCACAAGCTCTTGCTCCAGAAGCCAGTAAAATGATCCAACCTGAACAGCATTAATAATTTTGAAGCTGCTTCTCAAAGAGTCTAGGAACAATAGCTGGCTATTCTTATTCTGAGAGTCTCTGGGGCACTTGGTGGATTTCCCCATTTTGTAACCTTCATGGTGACAGGGGAAATGCCTGACACCACAGGAATGACATATCAGACACATTTCAAGAAGTACACACCATCAACTTTCAGCCCACATGAGCTATGGCTGGAGCCAGCATATCATGATAAACAGTTGAAATCTATCTTTAGATGCATATAGTAAAAAAAAGAAGAAAAGTTTTAATTTATTGTACTGAATATCTAAATCAAAAGTTAGAAAACAATCAGCAGAATGAACCTAAAGGTATTAGAATAAAAGAAATAATGAGTAAAAATTAACAAATTAAATTCAGTCAATAACATTTTTAAAAGAAAATAGCTCTCTTAGAGATTGCTCAGTGGCATAAGTGCCTGCCTGGCAAGCACAAGGTCCCAGTTTTGACCCCAGTACTAACAGAGAGAGAGAGAGAGAGAGAGAGAGAGAGAGAGAGAGAGAGAGAGAGAGAGAGAGAGAGAGCAAATTAAAATAGCAAACATCTGGCTAACTTGATCAAAAGAAGAGAAATGAAAATAAGCAACATTCTGAATAGGAAGAATATATTAGAAATGTAGTAGAAAATAAAATATAAGCATTCTTTAAAATATAATGATAAAGGCTTTCACAGAGAGCACATTGGCCAAGCAATGGCCATGACTCATCCACATGGCTGACACTGACAAAGGTTCTACAATCTGAGGTACAGGATCTCAGAATAAATCCTGAGGGGATTTCACTGACCTTATCAGACCCAAAAGCTACAACTCTTGTTGCATAGGTCCAGCTTTACCTTGGTCTTAACCATCCAGCAGAAAAGTATAAAAACGAAATATAAGAAGTAAAGCCATGCTGTTATATTGAGCTGTAGGACTCAGGTCAACAATCTCTGACATTGCCAGTCAAGCAGAAGACCCAATACTATTATGGGCTACTGGACTCTTTTAGAATATTTTACTGAGTTTACACACCTATAATATTCAAATAAGGGAACTTAACAAAACAAGGGCATACAGATGAATGTCCATTCTGTATCTGTATATTTAAAGTGGTTAGGATAGATATATAGTTACATTCTCTAAATGAATAGAGGGATTTGTTCTAATGGTGTTTGTAAATAGGATATCATGTCCGTATCTTGTACAGCAATTAACCACCAGGAAGAATGCATGCAATGTGTTAATTATTGAAACTGTCCTACCGATTTGGTTTGAAACTGTCTCATTACTATTTGTTTATCAATAAAATTATGGGAAAAAAAGCTAAAAGGATAATGTTTTGTTTATGAAATGCAAATATATATATATATAATGATAAAAATGTGAATGAGTAGATTAAAAGGGTAGGGTTTTTTGGAAAACATAAGAAAATTAAAGCAAGAAGAAATATAAAATGTAACATACATATTACTGTCAATGAAAACAAGAAACCCACCAGGTACAAAGTCTCTAAGATGAATGTGATTATTATATATGCCTAAATGTATCAATAAAATCTGATTGGAAAAAATAAAATATAAGTGAAAAGAACAAAAGAAAAAAATTTTCAGTACTGCTTAGAAAATCACTAGAGCAACAGAACAAGTGTTTCTGAAGTACAGCAGAGGGCATTTTGAGGAAGGCTAATGGCTATCAACAAATTTTAATTTAAACATTACCATAGATTTTGACCACATCTCATATTTGTTTTAATTATTCATCCCTTAAGTAAATATTTATTGGAGGCCTACTCTGTTCCAAGCCCCATGGTAAGGCAATGTAGTTATAATCAGAGAGTTTAAGGGACTCACAGTGTAGTAGGGAAGAGCGAGGTTAAACACATGTAAAACAGTTTATGAAGTATAAGAGGATAAAGCACAGGGCATAGATCAAACATGAGGTGAAGATGGGGGTCAAAGAAAAATTCTTGGAGGTGATTGTACCACTGAATTTTAAGGAAGAGTGTGATATCCAGATGGAGAGTGGGGCGGGGAGCAGGAGCCCAGGGAGGAGTGAGAGTCCTCATTGTATCTCGGTATATCTCGGGACTAGGCACAGCATGGCAGGGTACACTGAAGGACAGGTGAGGGGCACAGTCAGTCAGAGAGATGAGCAGAGGCCAGATTTTATCTAGCATTCTGTGCTGAGATTTGGTCTTACAGGTCATCTTCCTTAGAATGTGATATGTGTCTCTTTCCCACACTCCTTGAAGCCCAGTTCCTGAAGATCAATGTCTCTTTCAAAAAACTCTAGAAGAATTTTGAATATTTTCACCACAAAGAGATGAAAAATGCTTGAGAAGATAGGCTTACCCTGATTTGAATAATACACAATGTGTACATGTACCAAAGTATTAAACAGTATCTCATAAACATGTGTATTTATGTCAATTAAGTAAAAATAAAATTATTTTTAATTTTTAAAAATGGAAAATCTATGCAAGGAGGAAGGCAGGGGAGAAGGAAATGTTAGCCTCACCTATTCCCCCCTGGACAATTCCAAAGCTCATCAGCATCTTTAAAATTCTGAGTTCTACAAGAAGCTCCTTAAAGAAACCTCTTTAAATTTATTTAAAGCAGCATCTCCAAAGCCTATATGAGCACGAAGACTTTCTTTGCATGGAGACCTTCTTTACACTTGTCCCATGAGCACGCATTCTTCTGAAATTCACTCTGGAAAATATAGGCACTGAGGAGCCATGTTGTTTTAAGCAGGAAGATGACTTAGTGGCATCTGTCTTTTTAGTAAGTCACTGTTTTGAGAAGGGAAATATTGGGGATAGAAAGATCAGCTGTACGTTATTACCCTGACAAAAGATTAAGATTGCCTAAATTAAGATTGCAAAGATAGAAAGTGATATGTCTGACAAATACTTATAAGGTGACTCAGAAAATATTCATGGGGTAAATCAAAACTTGATGAAGGAGAAAAAGACAAGACACACCCAAGTCACCACAAGGCAATGCCTCCACTCACTAAGGCCAAGCATGTGGCAGTAGGCTCAGGATGGATTAAAGGCAGATCTGAGCACCAGCCGAAGGTCCAGGGGGAAGATGCTCAGCCTCAGTTAAAATCTAAAGAACTGATAGTAAAAGGTTTTTGGAGGAGATTATAAATTTGAAGAGCATTTATGTATAGTGTTAAAATCATGAACATGGTTGAAAATAAAGAAGGAGAAACTATAAGAAAAAAAAATAGATTTCACTGTCCTGAGGAACATCTAGGTTGAAGGAATAAAAACAGAAAAAAGATCTCCCAGAGAAGTCTGGGAAATATAGGATTCACAAAGCAGGAAGAGTTCCTGCCACAGTAACAGAATTCTTAGGAAAGCCAAAGCTAAAATGCAGTGAGTTGATGCGTGGGATTGTTCATGGAAGAGTAAATGTGGTGTGTCATAGCAATGGCCCCATGAGTCCCTGTGACCATTCCATTTTACCACTGATACTGCTGCTTCTTCCATCAACACATGGCACCTACTTCTCCACTCACTGAATCTGGGCTGACTTTGTGATTTGCTTTATCTAAAATAGCAAGAGTAGAAGTGACATTGTGCAGGTTCTGGAGTCTAGGACTTAGGTGGTCTTGCAGCTTTCTTTCTCATGCTTCTTGGATCCAAGACCACCTCCCTGTGAAGAAGTTAGGTGCAGCCTACTGGAATGGAATATGCTACATCATGAAGAAAACCAGTGTTCTAGAAGACAACCAACAGTAACTGACGAACCTAAGCGTGAGGATATCCTAGACCCTGCAGCCTCTGCTACACCATGAGAGGACCTGAGACACATAAGAAACCTCAGCAGAGATCAAGAAAATCATCCAACCCACAGAACTACAGGAAAAAAAGAAACCATTGTTTCTAGTCACTAAGTTTTAGTGTTTGTTATGCAGCAAAGCTAACCAAAACAGAAACCTGTATCAACCATTGAAAGTCTCCATGATGAAAAGAGAAAATACATGGCATTTGTGATGGGTCTGAGCAGGGAGCAGAGGCTGGACAGGTACAGCGAGGGAAAACTGGAAGAGCAGTAAGGTAACTGCAGAGAGATAGCCATTCTGTACAACTACAGCCCAAATGGCAAGACAATCACCTAGGGCAACTGGGAAGTATTTATGTACCTAATAAGTGGACCTGCTGAAGAGAATTCTAGACTTCCAATCCCCTGGAAGTATTAAAACTGTAGATTTATTCTTCTCTGCATATGACAAGAGAGATAAACCAAAGAGAAACAGTTCATACAGCATGTATAACTTAGGGCAAATATATAGGCCATAATTTATCAAATTGAAAACTAAACCTGTTTCTCGTCTATAATTTCTCTAGCTGGTAAAAGATCTAGAATGAAAAATCAAATCGAGAGTGCTGCCAATAAAATTATAGCTTCTGAAGAGAGATTTTAAAAATATATAGCCTCTGTTTCAAGATTGACTTAAGGGTGTTGCCTGTAGATACTTTTTAATAGCACTAAACACTTCAAAGTGGTATTTAGTCTCCCCTTTCAACAAGATTAAAGGCCTCCTCCGACTCTTGTCTGTATCGTTCAACACATGGCTTGTCTGAAAAGAAATTGGGGGGTGGAGTAGACTGTAATCAGATTTATCGAAAATGCACAAAGTTTTTGAGGAAATCACACCAGGTCGACATTAAAAGACCAGAGAACATCTTACATGAATATAAGCCTTGTAGTTCCTTACTGGAAGAATTAAGACTGAGAAAGTCTCTCAGCTATAAGCAAAGACTTATTTCTTACAGAAATGGAAAGAATGGAGACAGTTGGTACATTTGCCCACTGGATTTCATAGCTGTCATGGGTCAGTTCTGTCATTTTTTGCCTGTTGGTTTGTTTGATTGATTGGTTGGTTTGGTTTGGTTTTTGGGGTTTTTTTGAGACCGGATCTCACTATGTAGCTCATGATGGCTTTGGACTCACTGTGTACCCCTAGATGGCCTTCCTTGAATTTGCAGCAATCCTACTGTGTCAGCCTCCCAAGGGCTGTGATTATAGACACCCACCACCACCCATGCCTCATGTTCTCTTTCCCTTCTTGAGCAGAAGTATCTGTTATTAACACTGAGAGTTCTGGGGTGGGGGACAGATACACTGTCCTTTTGGCTCCTCTTTTGACAACATTTAAGATAATTTTTGGTGCACCAGATTTATTATAATGTATTACATTACTACTAAAGGTTAAATAAGCACTTCAGCTGGGCGTGGTAGAACACACCTATGATCAGAACACTGGGGAGGCTGAGGCAAGAGGATGGATATGAGTTCAAAGCCAATCTGGACTACATAATGAGTTCAAGGACAGACTGAACTGAATTACACAGTGAGACCATCTCAAAACTAAATAAATAAGCACTGGAGTGAATTTTTCATAAAAGAACTGAAATATGTTATATTTCTAGAAGCATTCTCAAATATTTAAAAATGTTTAATTTTCTAAACATGTAAATGGTACCAATCCTTACTCTAAGAAACCCCAGAAGTGACTGCTAAACATGCTACTCTTTGAATAATGATGTTTGTGTCTTGAATCTAAAGCCTAAAAAAGAAGTGGGTTTTTTTCTGTTTTGTCTAAACTTTAATAATTCGCACATTAATTTTAATAAGCAATAGACTCTTTAAAAAGATATTTGTTCTAAGGCACCAGAAAACCATAAGGATTAAAGGCATCGAAAATATTTAAACAGACCATGCAGACAGTACCAACCATTTGTATTATAGCTACATGTAATTTGGCTTCTTCTATTAAAACTTCGTCTGCTGGGCTCTCGCCATCATTCCTTGAAAATTGGGAAGACTGAAGATTGTCAGGCTAAGTTTTAAAACACAAAGAGATAAAGTTAAAGTAAATAAAAGCTGTAAGAAGACAGCAAGTGCTATACTCAACAAAAATTTCAGTGATTCAAATCAGAACTGCTAAAGTTACAGGTTAAGTGTAACTTGAGTCACTTTCCACATAAGAAGTATTGTTGCAATTATAGCAAAATATTCTTTTCTAAAGGTTTGGGGGTTTTAGTTCTGGAGGGTTTTTTGTTATTGTTTTTGCTTTTGCTAGAGGATCTTCTGTGTAGCACAGGATGGCCTTGAACTCACTACATAGCCCCTGCTGTCCTCAAACTCAGTGATCCTCCTGCCTCCAGAGTGGCTGGTCTTTTGGAAAGATTTAAAAGCCAAATTCTCCTCCAAACCTGTCCATGCTTGACTACTTTCTGTATCAGCCTGTAATTTCTGCTTTTGATAATAATTATGTGGGAGAGATTTCTCGATCTCTCTTTGGAAACATCGCCTGAGCAGGGGCCATTGCTTGGTACTCAGCCAGCCCACTTGTAAAGTATCCACTGTGCTGTTGTTGTGTGGATAACAATAATCACCAAGACCTTTGCTTTAGAGACAGAATTCAAAGAAGTCATTTCATCGAGATGACAAAGCTAACAAATATCTCCCCTCAGTTTTCTGGTCTTTAGTTAACAGAATTAGGTTTGTTTTGTTCAGTTTTTTTAAAAGACTAAGATGAAACAAGCAGATCAAGGGAGGGAAAGGAAGATTATTTCTTTTTGGCCAGACAGCAACTCACAGGAATAACATATTCAATCTTCGTTTTTTCTTCTACTAAAGTCCAATTAACATTCGTCAAAAGTTTCTCCGTTTTAAATAAAGTTATTGTGTTCTGTAGAATCTGCTGTATGTGATGAGTGACGTTTTGTATAACCCTTTGTCTTGGGAGGGAAATAGCACACAGACCTGAGAGAAAGAAAAGCAAGGGCCTCAGCACACTGCAGTGAATGCAAGAGGGAAAGACGAGGACAGGCCTATGACAGCCGGTGAAACAGTGCATTCACCTACACGGCCAGAACAGGGCGACTAGAGCAATGGCAACTTTTTATCGAAAATTGGTAAAAAAAAAAAAAAAAAAAAAAAGGTACTATTTTTGAAAATTGGTAATATCCAACTATCTGTGTTGCCTTCTTGGCTATACGACTCAGCTTCATCTGGCTCAACTGCTGAAGACTTTTGGCTTTGAGGTGCCCACCAGGATTTCTTAGAAGCTAGAGAACTTCCTGTGCCTCCTACAAATGGAAGGGCTGCTTATGAAACTGTGCAAACCCCTGGGCTCCAAGCCACAGCCACAGACGCAGATTGGCCTAAGAATTTGACGTTAACCTGTTGCCCACCTGCTTCTTACGCATAATGAAATGTAAAGGTCACTACAATAAACTCAGATCTGACACCTCTGCTTCCTGGAGCACAAACCTCAATATCCAAAACTTGTAGCACTGTGTGCTTCATTGAAGTGTGTATTTGAAGTTAGAGCTCCAAGGCTGCCTTACCAAAGAGAAGAATTTGGTGTTTCTTTTGCCTACTCACTCACTTCCACCTCAGTGAAGCTGTTCTACCTTTATAATTGCATGTGAAATATCTCCTAAAAAGTTAGAATGATGTCCTTTTTAAATTTTATTTTAAGTTACAAATATGTGTTTGCAATACATTTGGGTTTTTTGTTTTGTTTTTCAGTGGTACCAGGGATTGAACTCAGGATCTTGCACTTGTTAGGCAAGCTCTTATTCCACGGAGCTATATTCCCAGCCCAATGTTTATGATCCACAATGTTTCCATTCATCTTGGGGAATAACATGTGCATATCACTTTTAGATTCCTTGTTATTCCCCTTCCCCTCCCCACCTACTTTCTTTCCTCTGTCTCTAAATCCCCTTTCCCCATTATCATTATTATTGTTATTATTTCTAGTTCATGTTAATGACATAATATTTACATTCATTGTGGATATTTGTCACATGTACATCTTCAATCTCTTTACTTCCCCATTCCCTCCCCTCTTCCCCCAGTCTCAGTCTCTTGTACCACTTCTCATTTTTGAAAAATTTCTATCAATCCCATATTTTTCTCTTTATTTACACTCTGCCTTATTCAAATGAGAGGTATCATACCAATATGTGTACAGCATTTTTTGCTTAACATTATATTTCTAGGTGTATTCTTTTTCCCACAAATGCCTAAAATGTGTCTTTCTTACATCTAAGTAGTATTTCATTATGTGTAGTAGCATATTTTCTTTATCCATACACCTGTTGATGGACATATGAGCTGTCTCCAGGATTTAGCTATTATGAGTAGTGCTGCTATAAACACAGATATGCATGTATTACACTAAAATGAGGTCTTCAGAATGATATATATGCCTTACCTAATGTCTTAGCTGACCAAGTCATCATGAGTGAGTTTATTCCCATAGTCAACAATGACACTGCTTGTACATAGAATATAAACTAAAATAAAGCATACAAATGGTTAGAACCAAAAGATTAAGTAAGTTTTCCAAAAATAACCATTTAACCACCTTCAAAATTCTACTTTAATGCATATTTTTATTCCTGTTTATAAGTAAATTAAGGTAAAAGAATGTTTCGTGAACCTTCTTTGGACATAACATACTGATGCAAAAGTTAATTTTCAAAGAAATTAATAAAGGAATTTTCAAGGAAATAAAGATAAATTTTAGATTCTGAGATAAAGACACAGAAACACTTTCCATGCTGCTCATTCCAGCAGCAGCTACATAAGGCCAGAAAGTTGGGAGCCATCATGGATGTGGCTCTGGAGCCTGAGGGGTGGGGTGAGCCCCAGCCACACCAGGCAGTGGTTACTGTGAGTGGGGTGAGGCTCTGTACTGACCACCTGTTAATGGACATATGGGCCATTGCTACAGTTGTACCAGGCCCAGAGAGGCAGGTGGGAGCTGTGGTGGGGTCAGAGAAGGTGCTATATACAAAGAAAAAAATACCATATTTGTAAGCCTTGGCTTTGCCATTGATTAGTCAGGGGGCCTCCAAGTCTCGGTGTCCTTCAGTGAAAAATGCAGTTCCTAGCACCATCACCTCCTGCCTGTTTCCTAGACTTGGCTGATAACAGTCATCTGTCCTAGAGTGCTTGTTCAGCACACTGACTCGCAGCCCTTCTCTAAAGATTGTGATTCTTTAGGTCTAGGATGGAGCAAAGAGCATTCATAACATCAAACAAAATTAGGAAGCACTGTAAAATTACACTCAAGTGTTAGTTAACATCCTATTGTGTTGTGTGCAGCAGCATAAATGTTGGGGTGAGGACTGAGGGAATGGAGAAATAAAGATAAAAGACAGAACGCTGAGGTCAGGTTGAGCTCTCTCTCTGAGTGGAGTCAAGGTTGGAGGCCAAGTCTAACTAAAACCCTATCATTATCCAATATGATGTATTGGTGCCCTTCAAACTGTCAACACAAACTTTCCTCTGAGTTTCTCTTTCTGCTTTTTTAAAGTCTAATTTGAAACTAGGTAATTTCATTGTTGGGTATAATCGCAAGTGCTACAACTGAAGATGAATAAATAATCACAAGACTTGACTTTTCCTACCAGATGTGGAGCCTTTACTTTTTGTTCAGCCAGATTATAAACATCGGGAGACAACAGTAAGCTAAAAACTCCTCTAATTCCAGACCAGGCAATGACAATTCCCAATTGCCAATTGTATTCATGACTCAACTGCATTAAGATAGGAGTCAGTGCAATAGTAGTAAGAATCCTGCAGATAGAAAAAGATTGAAAGTTAAACCACACCGTATATATTACCTATGTTGAAACTATGTACTCAATGCCAAATTCCATATAAAAATTTTCAAGACAAAGAAAACAATGCAGTCTATTGCTGCCGTGCAAGCTTTCTGAAACTAAATCTGCTTTCTACATATTGTGTGACTATGAAAAGTGATACTCAAGCTCAGCAGGAAAATAAAGAATATATGAACCGTGAAGGTCACCTGCCTGAAAAATTGGGCCACTACAGTCAAATATATTTGGTTAATTGCAGTGATTCTGGTTTCTGGTTCTTCATAGTCAGAAAGCTCGTCATCAAAAAACAATGGGTGTTGCAGTTTGGGTTTTTTGAAAGGGGAACAATACAATATAGGACACATATTTTATGAGATTATCTTATAATGAATCACCCAAAGAATCGCATACAAAAGTGCAGGAAATCTGTCCATACACTAAAGACCAAAAAATCCAGCTGAGGGCCTGGATCCCAAGATAATGTCCTCTATGAGTTCAACTGAAAACTTAGAGCTTATAAAAATGCCTCCAGGAGTCCAACTGGAGGCCTGAAGCCCACAATGGCTCATGCAGGGGTGTTTCATGGATCTGTGATGAGAAGTTCAAAGGGTGTGGTGGAAGTTAGAAAGTCTGTGCCATTGGTTGATGAATCTGTGCTAGCAGGCTGAAGGATCTGAACTGCAGCCAGCAGGCCGTAAAGTAAGAACCAGTGCTCCCCACAAAACTGCCACAGCCATCCTCAGCACCAGAGAGGTACCAAACTCCTCTAATGATGAGGAAACCTGAGTTCCCATCAGGAAAGCCAATGTAACAAACTTCTTCAGGAAACTGAGCAGTCTTCCGCTCCAGAGCCCGGAAGCGATGTTCCAAATGAGGACCAGAGCTCCTCCAAAGTGAGCCACAGCCATTCTCAGCAACGATGAGGTTCAATGAAAACAGACAAGTTCACCAGAAAAGCCAGCATGACAAGGTCCCACATCAAGACAGCCAAAGAGAACCAGCAGCTTCCAACAGCTTCCCATAGCTCCTTACAGCTTCCCTAAGAGCTTCCTAACAGCTTCTCTGGTTCTGCCTCTTGTACTACTGGCAACAGTCCTCAGGTGGGCCTCCCACACCCGCAAACCATGCTAGTTCTGCTCATCTGTGTGTAACAAGCTGACCATCCACTGGCAATCCACTGCAGTGGGCTTTTCCTGTGACATTTCTCGGAGAAACTACTGGGCTATAATGCTTCACCCAGTCTGAAAAGAAACAATGGTCCAGGTATTGTTCCGCAGGAATTTGAAATTAAATGTAGCTTTAATTTGGTAAAAGAAAAGCATTAGGGCTGGCCTGATAGCTCACGGACTAAAGCGCCTGCTGGGGCAGAGTGCAGCAGCAGCGGCAAGGGTTCAATCGCCGGCATGCAGTGCCGCCCCGCCTCCAGGCCACGCGGAGAGGGTGATTGAGACCTGGCGTGGTGGCACCCGCTGGGCCGGCCCTGCCCCAGGGGATGTGCTGAGCCGGCAATGGAGACTGGGTGTGGTGGTGTGCGCCTGTAATCCCCGCTCATGGGAGCAGTATACTACTGTGTACAGTAGTACAGTATCATTATGCGTCCGATCTAGTAGTGAGACCCTGAACACCCTGTAGACCCTTCCCTAAAATTAAAAAAAAAAAAACCTTAAAAAAAAAAACATAAATGAATTTGTAGCTTATTTAGTGAGAACAGATCTCAGAATTGTGAAAGATTAAAAGCTACAACTCTTGTTGGATAGGTCTTGCTTTATCTTGGTCTTAACCATCCAGTAGAAAAGTATGAAGTCGAAATATAAGAAATAAAGCCATGCTGTTAAGTTGAGCTGTGGGGGACTCAGGTCAATAATTTCTGACATTGTCAGTTAAATATAAGACCCAATGCTATTATGGGCTACTGGACTCTTTTAGAATATTTTGCTGAGTTTACACACCTATAATATTCAATAACGGAACTTAGAAAAAATGGGGTACACCGATGAATGTCCATTCTGTATCTGTGTATTCAAAGTGGTTGGGGTAGATATATAGTTGCATTGTCTTAATGAATGGAATGATTTGTTCTAATGGTGTTTGTAAATAGGATCACAAGTCCGCATCTTGTACAGCAATTAACCACTAAGAAGAATATATGCAGTGTATTATTTGTTGAAACTGTACTTCCGATTTGATTTGAAACTGTCTCATTGCTGTTTATCAATAAAACTTTGAAAAAAAAAAGAATTGTGAAAGATTGCATACCTTGTGTACTAACTGATAGTTTACACAAAGAAAAACGATATATCTTGCTTGGCTGCTATATAGACTTATTACCTCAACTAGTTATTACTTTAAAGAAAATTTGAAAAATGTGGTAGCCAGAACTGTTTGGTCCCTCACATTAGATCCTGCCCACCTTGAAGAGAAAAAAACTCCAACAGACCACTGATCTATTCAGACAGAGAGACCTTATTCAGCCCAGGCGACTAAAATAAATGTTTCTCAGGATGGTTACCAGACTTGGTTCTCAGGCTTACAGCAAACCCCATAAATCTACAGAATGTCATGCTGTAAATCAGCAGCATACCACTGTCTTCCGCCACTTTCCCAAGAGGCATCAGACCCATCAAGGACCCCTGAAAAACTTAAATTTTTCTATCTGCCTCCGTGGAACTCCCCCTCCCATGCTTACACTAGGCTATAATAGAATGTTTTCTTCCTTTGTTTGTGGCCAATGGTCTTTTCTTCCTTTGTTAGTTGATACATTGTGTCAACTTGGCTGAATCAGCTCTGCAGTTCTCAGCTGGGGGCCTAGCCTTGCAGGTGGGCAGGGCCCAGGAATTGAGAAAAGCTTCCTGCCGCCCTGCCCCTCTTCCATGGAGAAGTCCCAGTCTTTGGAGGAGCTGGATCTGGCAGCCGTGCCACTTTGGAGGAGCTGCAATTGCCGGTCTTTACAGTCAGTGTAGAAGGAAGAAAGAAGGTTGAAGGATGCCGCAGCTGCTGCTCCTCCTCTGCTCTTCATTGTTTTCTGCTGCATGAACTGCTGACATTTGCCGTGGAGCCAGTGAAATATGGACTGAACCCTCCAGTAACTGTGAGCTAAATAAACCTTTCCTTCCTTCATTTTGAGTGTCAGGCATTTGTCCCAGCAATGAGTACACAGTAACTAAGACACTCCCTTTGTGAGATTGCACCCAATCTGAAATAAAGATATCACTGTTTGCTTCAATCCTATCTGTCCTAGTCATCTCAGTCACTCCTCAGGGTCTAGCCTCACAAGAACTATCCGAAACAGAAATTATACATGATAGAAATATTCAGATTTCAAAACAACATTTAAATGGACTGTGGAAACAGGAAAGCCATCTCACTTTGGTTCCATGATCTACTGGTAAGATAGCTGAGGATGTAGGTTTTATGTATGCTAGAATTACATTGAAAGAGTTCATCTACAAAAGAGCATGATTTCCAACTCTGGACTATGGAAGAAATCAAAGCCATTTTTTAAATCCACATAGTGAAATCCTAACAATCTACTACACACTGAAGTGGGAAAATATCCAACAGGAACAGTTTCAACTTCAGTAACTAACGTGCTCTATGAAGATTGTTCCACTTCGTTGCACTGGGGACCTATGGTTATTTGGTAATATTGTTTAAAAACTACTGGGCTTTAATGCAGTCCTAAATGTGAACATAACCTGCATGTGACAAAGAAAAAAGACAAAACTTATTACTAGGAACCACAGAGACCAATTATCAATTATTTTGTTTTTTTAGAAAACACCTAAATATGTGCGACTATTTTTTATGTTGAAAAGACTCAGAAAGTTTAAGACATCATAGTAAAGAATTAGTATTAAAACTTTTGTACACACTGAAATTACAGTGAATATAAAATACCATCATTATTAATAAGCCAGTGCATTACCATATTGGTAGCTGTACTGTTATTATTAAAAGCAACCATGCTTTCAGCATAAAATCATGAAATTAAATCAAGGGCTGATCTCAATGTAGAATATTGTTACTAAACATATTCCACATCATTTTAAAAACTTGAGAACATTGTTAGTGTCTCTGATTTTCTTTTTTGTCATAATCTTTACATCATGCATGTGTGTTATTCACATATAAACAAAAGTGTAAACATGTACTTATATTAATATTTAACTGGAAATGTTGATGGAGTTGAGTAATTTATATTCATTTTTATTGTGTACAGATCTCTAGTATGTTCCATTTCTGGAACATTTAAACTTACTTCACTTAAGTAAATATTTCACTTTAAAAAATGATGCTAGAGGGCTGGGGAGATGGCTCAGTGGAATAAGCGCTTCCCTGGCAAGCGCAAGGGCCTGAGTTCAATCCCCGGCTCCGCAAAAAATAAATAAATAAATAAATAAATAAATAAAGATGCTAAAAGTTCTATACAAATAATAGGATTTACCATTACACTACTGTATCGGGAGTTTACATTTAGATAGTCAATTCTTCCATGGAAACATCTTCAAAGAATATTAACAAGATAATCCATTCCCCAAATGTCATAAAATGGCCAGATTCAGAAATTGGAATTGAAAGATATACAGATCATGACCAAAAGGTAAAATTATTATAGACTTTTTAAAAATGTATTTGCTATGGGCGTCACTACACAGTTCAGACTCATAGTGATCCTCCTGTTTTCAGCCTCACCAGTGCTGGGATTACAAGTGTGTGTCACCATGCTCAATCTTGAGCAGCCGGCTCAATGCGCCTGGGTGCAGGGCCAGCATGTGGTGCCAGGGATTGAACCCTGGTCCCTGTGCTTGCCTAAGCAGTACAGACATATTGATAAACTTAATCCAACCAAGATTTTCTTGAGAATCCATCAAAATCACATACAAATTAATTTCATTTTTTTCTTTTTTTTGTGGTTGGCTCAGCCCGCCCTGGGGGTGGGGCTGGAGCAGCATGTGGTACTGGGAACTGTGGTCCCTATGCTTTGCCTAAGCTTGCCTAAGCAGGTGCTTTAGACTACTGAGCTATCTTGCTGACCCCTACAAATTAATTTCAATTTATGCCTTTCTGGTAAGACATTTTCTACAAGATCCTATGGAATCTATCTTTAGGGGATCTCACTTCTTTTTTTCTTAATTATCCTATTGTTCTCCCCTCTTTTCTGCATTGGTGACCAAGGCTTTTTGGCTGTTTCCTGACATGCCAGGCTTTCTCCCTCAGGGCTTGCTCACTGATGAATATCTACCTAAAAAGCTTTCCTGACACCTGCCTTGTTCCCTGGTCTCTTTCATATCTTAAACATCACTTTCTAAATGAGGCTGCTTGCAGGGAGCAGCTAAATCTGGAAATTGGTCACATGTACATTGACAAGGCAAGGCCAGTCTGAGAACACAGAGCTATTGAGGAAATACAGGCTGCTTCAGTCCAGAGAAATATCATACCCCAGACAATTCCAACCAGTAGTTGCTAAGCAAGCCTGTGCCACATGACACTAACCTTGTCAAATATATAAATAAATGCTCTAAGTTGATTGAGAAGCTTCCTTTCCTCCCATCTGGAGAGAGAGGGCTCCACCTGACCTCAGCTTTTGTCTCTAATCTTTATTTTTCCCATCCTTCCCCCATGGGAATGTCAAGAGCCATGCTGGGAGGTGGCAGCTCCCTTGACCACTCTATTGAAGACACAGGTCACTATCCCCCATGAGCATCCCCTTCAGCTTGCTTTCCTTATTTTTCATAATCTTTCACATTTTCTATTACATAATGTTAGTATTTAATATGCTTTCCCTTTCAGGAATCCTCGCCAATAATATAAACTCCCTATTGGCATATATATATATATATATATATATATATATGGACTATTTTTGACCAGGTGTCCTAATTGCCTAGAAAAAAACACAGAATTTAGTAAATGCTTGATAAATATCTGCTGGATAAATAAACACAGTGGTTTGTTTTCATTTTTTAATTTTACTTAAGATGTTTAATTCTAAAATCTACTGATAATTTCCCTTGGAATCTTCTCACAGCTTTAACACTTCAAAATTTTTTTTGTCCTGAGAAAATAAGGATACCCATAATAATAATAGTAACTAACTTTACTGAGCATTTGTCCTATGCTAGGCAAGGTGTTGTACTCTTAGACTTGGATTACCAAATGTAATCCTCATAGCCACCTCTGAGATAGTTCTGTAATTGTGCCCATTGTACAAATAAGTTCAATGAAACTTAGATTAGGTAACTTTCCAAAATCACATAGTCACAGTATCAAAGCTAACAAGAGTGAAAGATGGAATTTAGAGCCAAAGATAAACACATATATCATGCTAGGAAACAATGATTAATTTTAAAATGACTATTCAAGAGGGTCAGACATAGAAACAGAGAACAGATAATAAGATGCCCACTGATTTGACAGCCACACAGATTCAGCATGTGGCCACCAAAGTTAGATGCAACATGGATGGGACAGGAGTAGAGCTAGCAGATAGAACTGTGTAAGAGTGAATACCTGAACTCTTGGAGTGAGCAGAAGAAAATTTCCATGAGGACATGTTAAAAAGTATTATTAAGCTCCATTGGCCACTGCTTTGTGTGGCAATGACAGTGTCGTGAATTCTTATGGAAGTTACAGCTATCACAAGCAAACTTTGGCATCCTCTAGGCATGCTCACAGGATCAGAATTAATTGACTTTTCCACAGCTATTGATACAATAAATGATGATGAAAGTCAACAAGAGTGTTAAGGGCCACTATTCTCACTCAGTGGTGTTCAAACTTTAGCCTTGAGTCAAAACCCACCCAAAGAACAGGTTAAAGTTGCTTCCTGGCTCTTGTCTCCAAAGAATCAACTCAGTGGACCCAGAATTTGCATTCTCAAGGGTGACACAAATACTCTGTCTCATTTGCTAGACTCTGAAAAATTAAACAATGTTCCTGGGTTGCACAGCAGCTATTGTGAAGGCCGTCACAGCACAACAGGTTTCCTGATTCCACGTCAAAAATGTCTTTTATTTTTTCTGTACACCACTGCTTCCCAGTTCTAATCCAGGGCTTCATAACTAAGCTCAGAAAAATGAACATTAAAATATAATCATTACCTTACAAAATTCACTGTTGCAAATAACAAGAGAGTGAAAACTAAGGTATGAAATTTGAAAGACTCTATATCTCCACATCCAATCACAATGCCAAAGAAAGTATATATTAAATGTTCATATACAGATGAAAACATCATTAGGAATCTAGAAAGAATAAAAAGAATCACAGTATAAGCAATGCATTTAAAAAAAAATTTTAATGTATTTTCATGTATTTGGTACAGGGTCTCACTGCCCAACTCAGACTCATAGTGATTCTCCTGTTTTCAACCTAAGCGATGCATTTAAACAAAAGGAGAAAATCATTAATTTCTTTAAATCCACAATTCAAAGTAAAATTCTATCAAAGAGTTATATAAAAATACTAAGATCTCTGAGCTACTGACCCTTTATTCATAATGAAAATATTAATGTCAATTATTATTGGTACCATTCTCTTAATGAATAGAATGATTTGTTCTAATAGTGTTTGTAAATAGGATCTCAAGTCCGCATCTTGTACAGCAATTAACCACTAAGAAGAATATATGCAGTGTGTTATTTGTTGAATCTGTACTTCGATTTGATTTGAAACTGTCTCATTGCTGTTTATCAATAAAATTTTGAAAAAAATAAAAATAAAAACAAGAACAAGAAAAATAATAATAATAATTATTATTGGTACCTTAAGTTCTTTGCAAATGTAACTCAAATTTAAACCTCAAAGGTTTAACAAAATTATACAAAGAGAATTTTAATAGCATCCACTACTAAAGGCATGCCCTCTTAAGAACTAAACATCTATGAAATCTGTATTAAATGCAGAATAGGAAACTTACTTAGTAATTACATGCTCCATATTTGCTTTAAAGCTTAAGGAATCTAAATTCAGTCCCACTGTAATCAAAGCAACAAGGCCTGACATTCCAAAATGTTCCACTGAGAAAGAAAAAAAGAGTAAAATTAAATACATTTAAATCTGTACACTGAGGTACTTTATCTTAAGTGAAGAAGTGGTGGGAAATTTGAGAGAAGAATTTCTTACTTAGAGTGATCAGCCTAATCTTGTGAATCAGAAGGAGCGAGCTTTTTTTTTAAAGGGCCAGACAGTAAATATTTGTGGGCCACATGGCATCTGTCACAACTATTAACTCAGCTGTTGTATCACAACTGTAGCCACAGACACTATACAAGCAAATGAGTATATGATAAAACTTCATTTATAGACACTACAATTTAAATTTCATGTCATCTTCACATACTACAAAATATTTTTCTTTTGGTCTTTCATAAACCACTTTAAAATACAAAAGCCATTCTTTGCTAGTGGACTGCTCAAACCAAGCCTATTTGACCCTTCTGGCCAACCCCAGACTGTCACTGAGGACAAGGATAATGGAAAAGGAGCTTAACAGTTTCTGCTCGTGGCCACTGTGCTGCGAGTACTAGAAGTCCAGTTTCGTTGGCACCTGAGGTTCTTGAGGCTTGCTTTTCTTTTGCCTCCTTAACTCAAAGGGTAATTCCTTCCTTGGGTTCTAAACAGATTTGTAACTCTAGCCTGAGGCAAGAAAAATAACCTTGAAGAATGTTTGAATGCCACAAGTAACAATAGTCCTAGGCTGCAGAGGTCTCAAATAGCACATTATGCAACAGATAGAAAACTAAAGAAAGAACATGAAAAATAGAAGTGGAATAATGTTGGGAACATACAAAGATGGTTGCTTTTGAAGTGTGGCCTTCCTTTTCTCCTTTGAGTTTTTTCATTTGGAAGCAGGTGTAACTGTATAATTATTACGAAAGTTAACTCAGAGTCTGGAAAAATTGCCTGGCACATTTTGCAGGAATGAATAAATTATAATCATTATTACTGTGCTATTAATTTATCTATTTACTTACTGCTTAGTGAGTTAATACCATATATTACTCTATAGAGTATGTTACTGTTCCTTTCACTTAATCTAGTCACTTACACCTGTGCTAGAATTTTTATTTGCTTACTTAATTGAGCTTAAGTATCCAATAACAGCAAAACCAGTAGTACTTGCAAACTGTGATTTAGTGAAACTGTCTCTCAAAATCTTATTTTCAATTCTACATAATTTTTATAACTGGACTATAAATGATTTTTGGTATACATTTGAATTGAATTGACCAAGCTTTTCAGTTGCATGCCTAAATGAGCATAAGGAATCCTTGCTGCTTAATTAGATGACAAATTCATCCTAAGTTGCAAAGGTGTATGTCAGGACTGGAAACCTTCTAATGAGCAGATGATACTGACATACTCTAAGGAGCTCCGTCCTTCTCTGCTTTTAATTCACACTGGTAAGTATCTTTGTTAGAGGATGCCAAGTGCTGACTAGAAACAACTCCACCTGTTTTGTTTTGTTTTGTTTTGTTTTGTTTGTCTTGTTTTGGGTTTTGGGTTTTGGGTTTTGAGACAGAGTCTTACTATGTAGTTCACACTGGACTTGAACTCGCTATGTAACCCAGGCCAACCTCCAACACACAATGATCCTCCTGCCTCAGCCTCCTGAGTGCTGGGATTGCAGGTGTGCACCACCATATCTGGCTCCAGCTCCATTTTTTAAAAAAAAGAAAAGGGAAAGGAATCAACTTTTTTTAATTGACAAACTTTGAAACCAGTGGTGTTCTGGAACATGGTTTAAATAAGTTCTCTGGTTGTATGTGGGGGATGATACCTGAGTTATGGAGTATTCCAGTATCCATGACATAAAGACTTCTACCATGGCCAATTTCATGGCCTTGAATATGGAGTTGGGAAGAAGTCCACATAATCTACTATATATTTAATACAGGGTCTACAGGGTCTCACTACACAGATCAGACTTGTAGTGATCCTCCTGTTTGCAGCTTCCCAGGTGCTAGGATCACAGGTGTGTGCCACCATGCCCAATCTCAATCACCGTCTCAGTGTGCCCCGGGGGCAGGGCCAGCATGGCATGCTGGGGATCAAACCCCAGTCCCTGCATCTGCCTAAGCAGGCACTTCAATCTGCTGAGCTACCTGGCTGACCCAATCTGCTCTTAAAAGCCTGCAGGAACTCTCTATAACTCAGCAGCATAAGCAAGTCACATAATACACATTAGCCCATCAATGCCTGCCTCTATACTAACACCTTCTGCAAGCTAGACATCATTGGCCATTTTTATAGATGAAGAAACTCAAGCTTAGTGAGGTTAATTATCCATTGTCAAAAAGATAATACATTATGGAACCGGGCTTTAAACACAAGTCCACCTAACTCCAAAGTTCTTTTAAGAGTAATATCAGTTTATTCAGCCAACATGCCTTAGCTTATCAGTCATGCTGAGATGAGATGGAACAAATCAAAGGGGAATTAAAGATAGACTCCAGGGAATTCATGGTCTGGTAGAGAAATAGACTTAATTTTAAAGATCTAGGGCATCCATAAATGCTTCACAGGAGAAGAAACGAAGAAGTTGGAGGAAATAAGACTCTAGCGAATGTTTTCCATAATTTTACTGACTCAGAGCAATGACCAACACCCCATACCACCCCCACTGTATCTACTTCTTTTAGATAACTGGAGGTGAAAGGAAGAATAATTAATCTCTAAGGTCTTTCAGACATGGAGATTGTTGCACTCTGCAGAAATTGACAGTTTTGGCCATGGCTACTATGGCTCTTGGGAACATTGGGCTGGCCAGTAAACACTTTAAATCCTAACTTTACTAGCTGAATGCCCACTAGTGCTGGGCATTCTTATTCCTCTAATTATTTCACTTTCTTATCTCTCTTCCAGACCTAAGTATGTGCAATTTCTCCCTTTCCTTTCCTGCTCCCAGAGTCATGAAAGGGCCACTACTACAACAGCCTCCTCAGGTTATAATCAATTGAATTAAAGGCTGCAGAGCTGGTAAGCCACCAGTGATGAATGCAAGAGGACAGAGCATGGAGCTATGATAAAAAGTGTAAAAGATAACAAGAAAGAGCTGCAGAAGACATAGTATGACAAGAGAGGTGAACAGACCACAGACATTATAGAGGAAAAATAACTGAAAGTAAGATAACAAAAATTAAGATTCATAAAGTTTACCTCAAGAACAGCATATTTTGTATTTGTGTCAGCTCTTACCAATGTAGAAAGTCAGGTACACCAATGAAAAGCTGAGAATGGTATTGGTCAGTGAATTGTTAAAAGGGTCAGTCAATATGAACTCAATGATTCTAGCACACCAGTATCCAATTACAACGCTTCCAAAAATGTCGAAGATGACTCCCAAAATTACGTGTAGCTCTATAAAGAAAAAAGTAAACAAAGAATTGAGTGATGCATTCAGATTCATTCACTGATGGCACTTTGGTTTGCTCTTGAGATTTTGAAAGGGGTCCTTGTCCTTGTTCTTCAGCAAATAGGTGTACCCAATAAAAGTTTGACAAAAGAGGTTCTCTCAGGATGTCTATTCTATGTAGACTGAGGCTTACTTACTCCATGACAGAAGATTCAAATATCCTCAGGAGGCAGGCAAGAAGCACAAATGTGAAAAACCTATGACAAATTGGAGAGTGAATACCTAAACAAAAGAAAAGTAGGGTTGGGATGTAGTTCAGGAGTAATGCCTAGCATGCATGAGACCCTGGATTCAATCACCAGCACCAGAAAACAAAAGGATTCAGAAAATTTTAGAACTAAGCAAATTAGCAAGCTTACCTGTTGCTGAGGCAAAATACCTGACACTTGCAATTTAAAAGAGAAGTTTATTTGGCTCACAGTTTCCGAGGTTCAGTCCCTGATTGCCTGACTCTGAGGCAGGAATGTGATGGCAGAAGGCCACAGCAGGGCCAAACTACTCACTTCATTGGAGCTGGGGAAGAAAGTTGAGTGGAAGGACCCCAGAGAAGAATGGGCCAGACTAGATACAGCCACATCTCCATGACTCACCTGGACACATCTAAACATGTTAGGCAATTCTCAAACCAATCAAGTTGATTACCAAGATTGAGCAAAACACTGCTCTCAGGGCTAAACAAATCATACCCAGGCTCCCAGTGAATCCTGGCTTGCAACTCCTAACCCTAGGCCAGGAAGATTTTGAGAAATGGAGAAGCAAATTTTCCATTAGTCATAATAACCAGCAGTATTAAGGGCACTAAGTGGCAAAGTATCAGGAGACTCCTAAACAAAAAGAACTAAATAACAAAAATAGTCATACACTAAATACCTAAAAGTTCCTTCATCAAGAAGCACTGAAATGTCCCCCAAAAGACACGTGTGCTTGGAGGTGGGGCCTGGCCAGGTCACTAGAGTTGTGACCTGTAGAGGTGTATCCTTCTCTCTGGTTTCTCCCTTCTGTCCCTGCTTCATGACTGTCAAAGTTGAGCAGCTGTCCTCCGCTTGGCCCCTCTACCATACTGTTTCTTGAATCCAACCATCCATGTCCTGAACCCATTAGAAAACATGAGAAATATAAGCCTCTCCTCCTCTAAATTCTGGGTGTTGGATATATTGTCCTGTGACAGGAAAGTGATTAATATATACAGTAAGTGGATGAGTACAGAAATTGCCTTCTCCCAAAGGCATATCTCTTTCATTGAGAAACACTCCCTTATCAACTAATATTCATTTCTTTTGTACCTCTCTCCTTTTGCAACTATCACAAATACATATCAGATGAGCATATTCTCCCCTTTATGCTGTGACTTCCTTTTCCCTTTCTTCTCTATCTACTAGTTTCACATCTAAAAAATTAGCACAACAACATATTCCATATCCCAGTGATAATTAGTTAACACAAATTTGACTATTGTCACTTCTAGAACCTTCTCCCTAATACTATATGAACTATTTTGCTTTCACCTTCAGGTTCAAAAATAGAATCATGCCAATTCTTAATATTCTTAATATTCATTCATTGAGGAGAGGGAGTGGGGGAAAGAGATCTATCTATGTATGTAAGCAGGATAGTTTGGACAACTGTACTGTGCATTTCTGCTGGTCTATGGAAAGAAATAGTTAATGCTTTAATTTATTTTGCCTCCTTTTTTCAGTTGTTTGTACTTGTGCTCTTAATTTCTTATAAATTTCTTTCTTTTTCTCTTTCTTCCAATTTTACATGTATATATCTGGCAATATGAATGACTGATTAGAAGACAACACTATGTATTACAACAAATACTGTGAAATTCATGTAACTTCGTTAAGTGAAGTTGTGTATCACTTGTAATTTTTTCTGTTTTAATTCTAATTTGTACTTTCTTTAAAAAATAAACAAATTTCAGTCATGAGATTCAGAGTGATCCAGAAAATGTTAAAATATGACATGATGCTACTGTGTATGTATAGTACATGAATACTGCATATTGAGGGAATGAAATCACTTATAATGTTTTGCCCTTTGATGTTAAAGAAAACACATAGATGGTAGTTGTTTTCTTGTTGCCTCATATACCATTGGTCTAAGAGTGAAGTATAGAGAAAACAAAGACATCTTGAAAGTATTTTAAGTTCAATAAATCAGCAAATGTATTTTAATTTCAATGAATCAGGAAAGACATCCTGAATGTATTTTAATTTTAACAAGAATGATTTTAGAAAATATATAGACCAAAAAAATACTCTTACCTCTAAACATGTTAATTTCTGTTGAGCTACCCCGAAAAATTCCAAAAAAAATATGCATGACACTACAAAGGATCAATGATTCTCCTCTAAAGAAGTCGGTATACATTTTAGAAATGCCTGGGCAGGAAATATAAAATACAAGTTAATGTGGTGCATGAAAAGTGTGTGTTGCATAGGAAACATAAAAAACAGACAGGATAGAGGGAAAAAATCATTAAAATATGACTGGGATGGGTCTGTAAGATAATCACAATCACCATATTTTTAAATTTCTCCACTGTACTTTCTGAATTTCCAGACAATAAAACATGGTAATAGTACACTTTCTTCTGCCCCTGACTTTACCATGCTTGAGCTTTAAGAGGAGACAAATCTCAGGACACCACATTTAACATGAATAAACATGAATTTTGACTCCACAAGAACCTCATTTTAGAAATAAGTACAAATTATGATCCAGCAATCATACTCGTAGGTGTGTGCCCAAGAGAATAAAAAGCGTATGTCCACACAAAGACTTGTTCATAGCAGCATTATTCATAATCACAAAAAAAGAGAGAACTCGGTGCCCAGAAGCTGATGAACAGGTAAACAGATTTGGAACATCCAGCAGTGAGACAGTCCTCCTCCACAGAAAGGAAAGAGTGCTTACTAATACATGCTGCAGCATTCCTGAACCTCCAAAACACTAAGTGAAAGAAGCCACTTTATCTGTGGTTTTGCTATCTATAGTTTCAGTTAACCTGAAGTCAGTGGTGATCTAGAAATATTAAACAGAGAAGCCAAGAAATAATATTCATAAGTTTTGAGTAACTTATTGCAACATGATATGCTGTAAAATTGTTGTCATTTTCTAGACCATTATTAGTTATTGTTACTAATTCTCTTAGTGTGCATAATTTATGAATTATACTTTATCATAGGTGTGTATGTAGGAGACAAAATGTATTATTCATAGATTTAAGTACTGTCCATGGTTTCAGGCATCCACTGGAGATCACAGAACACATTGCTCATGAATAAGGAAGGCCAATGGTATTGTATGGTTTGATTGATACAAAGTAGCCAGAACAGACAAATACACAGAAACCAAAAATAGATTACATGACCACAAGTAGATTAGCATTTCCATATCTAAATTTCCATATGATATCACTTTGCTGGAAAAGGTTTCCTGTAACATTTCTTATAAAACTGATTTGCTTGCAAAAAATTCTTTCAGTTTTAGCATGTTAAAGTCTTTATTTCACTTTCCCTTAAGAATATTTTCATTAAGTATAGAATTCTACATGGGCAGTATCTTCTTTCAGCTCTGTACAAATGTTATCACATACTCTTTTGATCTGTATTTTTTTCTAAAGAAATTTTTGTTTTCTTTATTATAATTCTGTTGTATATAATATTAATTATTGTTCCTCTGAATATAATGTGCATTTTTCTCTGGCTGATTTTACATTTTTATTTTTCATTGTTTTTAGGGGCTTTGGTTTTTATGTGCCTTAGTAGAGTTTTCTTTGTGTTTACTAGATTTGAAATGTATTGAGATTCTTGAATCTGTGGTTTCAGTTTTTATCAAATTTAGAAATTTTTATCCATTACTCCAATATTGTGGTTCTCTTCTCTCTGCCCTCTTTAAGGAACACATCTATTAGACCTCTTGAAGTTGTCCCACAGCTCACTTAATCTATTTTTTATGGCAGTGTTTTTCTCTGTGAATCTCATGTAAGACACTTTCTATCACTACATCTTTAAATTCATTAATCCTCTCTTCTGCAGTATCTAATCCCTTCTTAATTCCATCTAGATTTTCAATTTTAGGAGTTTGATTTAGGTCTGCTTTATATCTTCAAAATCCACCACTACATTAATACACCAGCTCTCCAAAATTTAGAAAGTCTTGATTTGTCAATTCTATGTACAAATGCTTCTGCCATGGTCAATTCCAAGCTACCAATCCTTCAACAACTGGCTTGAAATTTCCTAATTATTGAACAATTCACTGTTATTATGAGTTAATATAAGCAGGCTCTATAGTATACTCAGTTTTTCCTTTTACCTTTTGTACACATGGACTATGGCTATAGCAACTTTTTCAAACAGGTTTTTGTTACAGCCCTTACCAGGCTGTCCTTGAACCTTTGATACCACGCAACAGTGATTAGACATGATTGATGTTGGTGCCGGCCTGTAGTCCCAGCTACCTGAAAGGCTGAGGCAAGAGATCCAGGCCAGCCTGGGCTACACACTGATTTCACTATCTACATAGTGAGTCCTTGACCTGCATAGGGACATTGTCTCAAAAAAATAAATGAACAAAGAAATAAAACAAAACAAAAATCCAAGAAGTAAACTGTTCTGAAGGGGGAAAAAAACACTTATCTAATTCACATGAAGGAACTATATGGTAACCCTGCCAACACCAAAACTACATGAAAGTGATTTTCTGCATAAAAATAAGTCAGATTTGTCTTACTGAGAAAAAAAGTGCTACTGGATTCAGAACTCATTCAGACATGTCTAAACTTTTAGCTTGCTTGGGTTGCACTGAGCAAAGATGCATTGTGCTAGGTTGTATATAAGAATGATAGATAGATAGATAGATAGATAGATAGATAGATAGATAGATAATCACAAAAGTTCCTTTATATACTTGTTATTATAACATTTTTAAAAAGAAATCAAAAAAGGGCAGGGGAGATAGCTCAAAACAGTCTAAGCACCTGCCTGGCAAGCACAAGGACCCAAATTCGATCCCCAGTACTGCATGCCGTGCTGGCCTGGGAACCCCAGCCACTGTAATTGGGTGTAGTGGCGCACATGTGTAATCCCAGTACTGCGGAGGCTGACAGGAGGATCACTACAAGTCTGAGCTGTATAGCGAGACCATGTATCCACTATTTTTTACATGTTTATAAATCAAAACTAAAATGTCTTACAATGTTACTGTATAAAGAAAAGATCAAAAGCTGACCTAATATCTTCACTAATTTTATTTTAGAGAAACAGAAATCTTTCATTTTTAATTTAATTTTATCTTATTTTAAAGGAAAAAAAAAAAAAGAAACAAAAACAAATAGCAAGGGGCCAGGGAGATTGCTCAGCAGAATAAGCGCTTGCCTGGCAAGCATAAGGGCCTGAGTTCAATCCCTGTTTCTGACAAAAAAAAAAGCAAAGAAAGAAAGAGTAACATACAACAATACATATGGTACATATTTTCAAAGCAAAAAATAGTAAATTAGCAATTGCTCTTAATATTTTTATAGTCAAATCTGTTGTTCAGATTAACAGATGATATAGGTTTGCAAGATTGGGCAAATAATTGAACATTAGCACTTGCTTTCAGGAGACCTTAGTAATTTTTTTCTTGAACTTTTTCTTTTTTCTTTTTTTAATTTATTTTGAAGAGAATATAATAATAATTGATAAGACATTAGAAATGGTACACATTTAGAAATACAATGTGAGAGGTACTCAGCCATTTTTTTTGTATTTGTTTTTGTTTTTTTGTTTTGTTTTGTTTTTTGTATTTAGGACATGGTGTATAGGGTCTCACTGTGTAGATCAGACTCGTAGTGATCCTCTTGTTTACAGCCTCCCAAGTGCTGGGATTATAGGCAAGCACCACCACGCCCAGTCTCAGTGGTCCCGTGGGGCAGGGCCAGCATTGCAGGTCAGGGAGGGGATAGAACTCCCAGCCCCTGCATCTGCCTAAGCAGGTGATTTAATCCACTGAGCTACTTGGCCAGCCCTCAACCATGGATTTTGTATTGCATTGTTGTCTTCCATGTAGTTGCTCAGTTTACAGACATTAGCCTATACAATTACTCAAAGTGGGAAATTTTTAACATCAATTACTACTTTCAAAATATCTACGGAAATTAGTAATACAATCATCTCAGCTATCCTGTGTATATCCTTGCATTATTTTTCCCCTTTCTTTTTTTCCTATTTTTTTCTCTCATCTTTGTTTATTCCTTATGTTCGGTTTCTTTCCATTTTATATCTATTATACCTTTCAGATTTTATTTGTTCTTTCAGGTTCTTATACTAGGGAGACAATATGATGTTTACACATGTGGGTCTGGTTTATTTTATTTATGAGCATAGATTCTAGTTGCATCCACTTATCTATGAAGGCCTCAAGTTTGTCTCCCTTTATAGCTAAGTAATACTCCTTTGTATAAAAATACTACATTTTTTTATCCATTCCTCAGATTATGGGCAATTTGGTTGTTCCCAAGATTTGGCTATAGCACATGCTTTGGCACAAATGTTTATAGTACTGCTATAAACATGGGTGCCCATATAGCACATGCTTTCAATTCTTTTGCAAAAATACCAGGAAGTGGAATAGCTGTATTGAATGGGGTCTCCAATCCTAGTTTTTTGAGCAGTCTCCGGACTGATTTCCACAGTGGTTGTCAGTCTACATTCCCTGAAACAGTGCAGCAGGATTTCTTTTTCCCACATCCTCTCCAGCATTTGTTATTAGTTCCTGTCTTTATGATAGCCATTCTTACTGAGATGAGATCATATCTCAATGTTGTTTTAATTTGCATTCCTCAAATAACCAGTGCTGTAGAACATTTTTTTTTCATGTATTTATTTGCCATTTGTATTTCATCCTCTGAAAAGTGTGTATTCATTTCAAATGCCAATTTTTTTCTGTATTTAGGGCAGGGCCTACAAGGTCAACAGGGTCTCACTACATAGATCAGACTCACAGTGATTCTCCTGTTTTCAGCCTCCCAAGTGCTGGGATTGCAATCACCCTCTCAGCGCACCCTGCGGGTGAGGCCAGCTCAGCACACTGGGGATTGAACCTAGCCGCTGCACTCTGCCTAAGCAAGCACTTTACTCTGCTGAGGTATCAGGCCTGACCTTCAGATGTCAATTTTTGGATTGGGTCTTTGAATTTGAGGAACCTGATTTTTTTAAGTTCTTTATATATTTTATGTGGAAGTCCTTTGTCTGAGTGATGATTGTTGGTTAAGATTTTTTCCCAATTTGTGGGCTGTCGTTTCACTGTATTGGTGATTTCTTTTGATGTGCAGAAACTTCTGAATAAGATGAGATCCCAGTTGTTGATTCTTTGAAATATTTCCCATGCAGTTTGG